GAAGAGCGTTCGTGTGTTTAGGAGGACCGCACGGCAGGGAAATCCAGACTGGTAGGAGACAGCCTGCCCCGAGAGCATGCACACGGCCTTTTCTCTCACTACACGTACCGACAAGCTTCAGTATGAACTTCTGACCCATCTGCATTAAGGTGAGGTGGGTCTGTCAGCGTTATCGGGTGGCCATTATGGAAATCCATTATCAAACCATCGAACAGACTACTCGGGGAAAACCAAATACTCTGCAGCTCTGTAACTCCATTAGCTGCCCGAGCAAGCAAATGGCCAAAACCAATTCCTCCTCTCCCCGAGAACGTCTCCGGGGCTTACCTTATCTGAGCGTTCAGCCCAAAAAAGGAATGGGATGCGACCCTGGCGTCAGGCTGCACGCTGCAGTGATCCAACAACGGCATGAGAACTGCAGGAGAGAGTCGAAGAGCTCATCTACACGGCATGACAAGGAGCGACAGCCCCATCGCAGGGGGCCAGCACCCCACCGGGACGCTGAGCGAGGCCCCATAAGCAAAATAAGGTGCGATCTTCCGCACTTTGAACTTGATTATGGGTTTTATTTCAGTCACCACCACAAGCAGCAGAAAAAGAAGATGGTTTCAGCCAACACAACCTAAAGTAAACCTCTGTTGGTGAGCTGGTTATTCCTGCCTACGCAGGCACACCCTCACCTGGGCCTGAAGGGGCTGCCTATCTCCTTTGTGGGCAGCAGCACCACCTGGATGAAAGCGAAAGCGAGGGGTGCCCAGTGAGAGCACACCTAAGGAGGGGGACCCATGGGGCAGCGGCTGCTCGGCTGCGTTCCCCTCCGAGCCAGGGCTTGCAGCTCCCGTGGCCGAGAGGTGAATGCCATTCGCAACCCACGGGCAAAATGCTGCCTCTGGAATCCAGCCTTCACTCTCACGCATGAAGACGGGGACAAAGCCCGTGGGGACAGACTTACCGGTGGGGACAGACTTACCGCTTGGGAACATGATGAGGGCGAGCTGGATGAGCCGGGCGGCTCTCTCCCGGGCTTGGCTCAGCTCCATCTCTGAACGCTCCTCCTGCTGGCTTTGGAAAAAATAGGCCAGTGGCACCGAGAAGGCGAAATTGGGCAGCTGGGACAAATTCCGGTGACTCTGCAGGATCAGAAGAGAGAGATTTACCGAGAAATGATGCTATGCGGAGCAGTCTGGATGGGGCTGCACACAGGGTGGGGTTTCTTCTTCTTCCCAGCTGCTGGCTTGGTGCCCCCAGGACTGAGTAAGCAATTCCAAGCTCGTATGTTTTTTTGCAGGGTACAGGGATTACAAGAACAAACACCTCCACTCTTTTTCAGGTCATTCCTATGATTTTGGGATGCTGGCTGGGCGGCGAGACAGCCCTTAAAGGGTTATAAAGAGCCTCACGCTCGTGGTGCAGCATGCCAGCCCAGCAGGGAGAGCCCCACGAACAAGCTTCTCCCCCTTCTCTGCCTCGTCTCTTGCCAGGTGGGCCTGATGCGAGGCGACTCACCTCCCACTCCTGGAACATACGGGTCAGGAAGGTGTATTCTCTAGCTCGGAGGGACAGAAAATCAATCATCAGCAGCACACACAGTGGGTCGTTCTCTGGATCGAGGCTTTGGAGGGAGGTGAGCACAAGAGGAGAAAGCAAAACAAGTGTCACAAAAGCTGAAGAAGCTGCCCTCGTTTCGAAGCCAAACGCAGACTTTCCCCAGCATCTAGAGAGCTCCCATGACTCAGCAAGTAACAGGAACATGATCGGTTCCGCATGGCCAGAGCGACGGCGCAACGCCCTGCGTCCCCGCAGAGGGGTGACAGTCCTGTCAGAGGTGGATGTCTGGCCACAAACCCAGCAGGCTGAAGCCACGGTGGTCCAGCTGCTCCACAGGAGGTCTGCGAACCAGCCAAGCTCACAGCTCAGAAATAATCAGAAATAGTTTGTCCTCCTCGATTTTGAGTGGGGGCGCATTTCTTTTTTGTTTTGTTGTACAAGTACTTTCGCACATGCTCAGGAACAATTCTGCTCTACGATTCGGCAGTCGAAGTGCAAAGGAGACTCCAGTCCTGTTTAAGCCTCCTTCTCAACAATCACCTCTCTCCTGAGCAGCACGTGCCCCAAAACTACCCAGCGAGGAGAGTGAAAACAACTCCTCACAGAGCCTGGGAGCAGCGGCACGCCTCTAGGGCTTCTGTCCTGCCCAGGGAACCTACCTCAGAATGAGCTTGCAGAACTCCAGGGCTGTCCGGGGACAGCCTCGCTTCTCTAGGAACATCAGGTGCTTGAAGAGAGCCAGGAAGAAAGCCCTGTGGGGTGTAGGGGGGAACAGGAACAGGTTTTAGAAGCTGGATTTGGAAGGAAGCACCTCGTGCCACTCAAAAGCAGCCCCAGCCCCTCGCCCCTCAAGCATTCACCCCTGCAGCCTCCCACAGACTGACTAACAACTCAGGACACAGAAGACAAATAAATCTCCAAAGCCTGCACCCTGCTTTGTCCCAGCCTGCCTGGGGATGGTGACACTGAGCACGCGGGGAGGGGAGGAACACCCGAACTGGTGTTACAGACGGCAGCATTCAGGTCACAGACAGCATAAAGCCCGTCAGCGAGCGGGTGCAGGAAATCCCAAGCAACCTCCAGGTACAGCAGTTTGGGCGAGATGACTTGGGTCAGCTGACTGGAAAATTCCCAGAATAAAGTCACCTTTCCCGCAGCTGCGGAGCTGTCGTTACGACAAGAGCAGCACAAGCGCTGGGGACGAAGGCCGGGCAGGCAGCAAAGTGACCAAGCACAGCCATAAAACACGCAGCAGGCATTTCTGCGACAATTACACGAGAAGGGCGTGTGGGAAGGCAACAGTAAATGCTCCAGCAAGAAATCCCTTGAGAAAGGATGTTTTGTAAAGAAACCTCGGTGCAAGAGGTGCTGGTACCCTAGAGTCCTGCTGCTGCCTCGCTGAGGGGCACCGACCGCTGAGCTCGCTCCAACACAAAGGGACATTCAAGGTCCCCCTTGCCAGCACGAGCGACGCAGGAGGCGTCGCAAATCTGGGTCTCCGTGCCCAAAGTAGGGCAGCGCACGCCGTGATGGCTCTCAGGCAGAGGAAGGGAGGGGGACAACCTGGCACTTACCTTTCCGGTTCCCCGCCCCGCCGGTAGTCCAGCCGGCACGTCCCGCTGGTGAGGCTGAAGACAGGGTGGAAGGCGCACTCCAGGCTGTAGAGCGCCCGCTCTGCCGACAGCGAGGAGAGCGTCAGGGCACGCCGCGGCCCCTGGTGCCCACAGGTTTAGACCGGGAGGTAACCAAGAGCTCTGGCACCCGCAAAATTAGCTCGTTTGCAGACTAGCAAGGCACAAAGCTGCTTCAGAGCATGGGGGTCACAGCAGAGAGCCAGCCCCCTCTCCGTGTGTCGGCACTAAATCGCGCTCTCTTGCTGTGAAAAGGAACTCTGGTGGAATTTGGGATTGAGGTTGGGTACAGCTGCTGCTGCCACAATCATCATCACACGGGAAAACCAAAAACCCTGCCCTTGCTTCCACTGTGCCAGAGAGCACAAGCCCTCGTTACCAAACGGCACACCCCACTCCTCGCCCCACTCTCACCTATGAGGTCCCGGGCCATCTCCTGGTCCTCCTGCATGCGGCACACGTCGCTGAGCTGCAGAAGCGAGTCCACGTGGTACGGGTTCATCTGAAGCAGCAGCTACAGGGAAGCACGAGCTCGGTTACGCGACAGCAGGAAGCACGGCACTCCCTGCAAGGCAGGAGCCACCAGCCTGGCGGGGAGGTGGATGCCTCAAGCAGAAGGGGCTGCTCTTGCCCCCGGGCTGGAGGAAACAAGAAATCTTGTCCCGTGCCACCAGAGAGCCAATGCTTAGAACATAGCACGAGGCTGGGGATGCACCTCATGGGAAAGGCCGAAACGACGGACTAGAAGAGATAATTATTGAGTCGCAGGGGGTGGAAGCAGAGGTCAACCTCACCCTGTCTCCAAAAGCAGGTACCTGGGACAGAGGGGGGGAAGCGGGGCACATGTGATGACTCCCAGCACCCCCTAAGTTGCCAGCCCTTGGAGGTTCAGGGACTGTCCAAGAGCCCGTTCATCTTAACGGTGTCTCCTCTCATCAGTTTGTTCCCTTACTGACCCAGGCACCTTTCCATCCAGCGGGACAAAAAGCTGCCAAAAACTGCCTTTAATCTCAGCCTGGGAGCTTTGGCCCCGGCTGAGAGGGAGGAAAGGAAGGGAGAGCTCTCCCTGCCCCATCCGAGCCCTGGATCATGGCTCCCCTCGGGCAGCTCTCTCCCAGCCGACCCAGCTTTTCCAGCACGGAGGCCATGCCAGGCCTTTAATCATCCCTGCTGTCCTCCTCCGAACCTCTCCCAGCTCTGCCAGCGCCTAGACCCGCACACGATACTTGAGAGGTGGGCAGCAGGCACAATTACAGTTCTGTTTTACTCCCTGTCCCTGAACAGTTCAGAGCATTTGATGACAATCGGAAGATTTGGCTTCCTCTGGGTACCAAGAGGACACTTTGACACATCTGCCACAATTCGAGATTCTCAGTCTTAAAAGATTTGGATTAAAGATTTTTTTTTTTTTTTGGTCCAAGCTTCAGAACAGAAGTTTAACCACATCTGAAAAACCCCTGCATTCACTAATTGTATTATAAACAGGCTACTTCCAAGCATCTAAAACTCAAGTTTCAATATGAAAATACTGAAACTACTTCAAACCTCCTCACAGTTTAGTTTTCTTCTGGTTTCTTTTTTCCCCACTCAAAGCTGAAAAATACAACTTCAAAAGCTCCACAAGTTGTAAATCTGCAGGCTGGTGGCCACTGTGACCACCAATAGCACAAAGCCTTTGTGTTCCAGGCTGTGCCAGCCCAGTGCCTTTGCCTCGGTGCCACTTGCCTGACATTTTACCCCTTCTGTGCTCACTCTAGAGTTCCTTTCTAGCCCTCTTTTTGGAAGGGGTAGAGCACCAAGGCTCACAGCGGTAGGAAAAAGTGCTCTTCACGCACCTACTTCACCAGCAAGATCCTTTTAAGCCGCTACAAAGAGCAGAAGAAAACCACTCAATGAGCAGGACACCGCAAAAAAATAATGTTTTGCCTGTTGAACCCACAGCAGCGAGGCAGGTCCGGGCTCCAGCTACACAGAGAGAGTGATTATCACAGAGAAACGAGCGCATTTGGCATCAGTGAACCCATCCGCTTGGTTTTACCCTGAACAGAAAATCGGAAGGCTAACGCTGAAGGGGTATTTCCCAATGCAGCCAGACCCACTTAAGCAGGACAGAGTGTAAGCAGAGACTAAAGTTTAGCACGGAAAACCCATCCTCGTCTGCACAAGCATGTAAGACTGTGTACAAGCAGGAGTTACCCGGTACCGCTTAACACCGAGTCCCTCAGTGCAGGCAGAACTGAGGAGCCAGAGAGAACAACGGCCACGAGCAGAGGGTGGGAAAGCAGAAGGGAAGTAAACTGTATTTAGCAGACAATGGCTTCTTTAAGAAAGTCCTCCAGGGCATGGATCCCAGCTCATGTGGCCAGGGTTTTCAGAGCAAAAATACCTCGGTTATGGTTCAGTAGGGTGCAGAGCAATTTTACCGCTGCTTATCGCTACAAACTATAAACGTTACCATACAGTTTAATGAGCTTGGACACGCATGAAAAAGTCTCAACACAAAAGGCCGTTTTGCTGAAATACCAAGAAAAGGCACTTTTCATCCATGCCAGAGTTCAAACTAACAGCTGTTGTATTTATAGACTCCCATTCTGAGATGTGGTTGTACAATATTTTTCCTTTCCCAGCTGAAGAGCCAAGACAAGGGGAGCTTTATTCCTCCCCTCCCAGCCAAACGGGCTCCTCTCCCACATGGCTACCTGGCCACCGAGGCTTGGCCACCAGCCCCCAGGCCTCCTTCATCCCCCCAAAAAAGCCCTGGGATGTGTCGACCCACCTGCCCTCCAGGGAAAGGGGCTGCGGGAAGGCAGGAGGTAACAGCGCGGGGCTGCCCGACATCGCGACGTACCACAATGTTGTTGGGGTCCATGGACTCGACGGCGTCCAGGAATTTGAACTGCACTTGCTGGTACTCGCGATGGTGCTCGAAAGCAAAGTGCTGCACTCCCCTCCTGGTGTCCAGCAGCTGCATGGCGATACCTGGAGGGTGCAGGGGACATGTAGGTACCGTGGCCACCAGGGAAGCTCTTTTGTTTTCTTCTTGCACACAAAGCTCGGTCGCATCATCAGGTCTGAAGCCAGATGTGTTTTCCCCAGAGAATTTCACTCCTTTCCCTCCCCTCATGAGTCAAACCCACCCAAGAAGCCCAAGCAGCTCGCTCTCCCTGTGGATATTCCTCAGCATCCAGCAACACCAGTGCTAAGAAGGGAAGCCCTCACCACCCACCACCTCCAAAAGAGGGGAAAAAACCAAGCTTGAACACTAAAACCCAACACGACAGAGCTCTCCCTGTAGATAAAGGAGGCACTTCCATCAGCTTGACCCCTCCCCACCCACCACCTCCAAAAGAGGGGAAAAAACCAAGCTTGAACACTAAAACCCAACACGACAGAGCTCTCCCTGTAGATAAAGGAGGCGTTTCCATCAGCTTGATGAGTGATTCGCTTCCCTCACTAAGCCTAGGCCTGGCAGCTGATGAAAGCAGCTCCAGCTTCCACCCTCCGATTCTGGGGAGCCGTAAGCCACGTGCTGCGGACATACTGGCGCTGCCTTTGCCTCGGCCTGAGGGAACAGACACGACGGGTCACGATTTCTCTGTGCTAACAGAACGGGGAGGGCTGCGACCAGCCAGAAAAACGGATGATTCAGGGTAGAGGGGAGGGGAAAAGATATCCAACTTCTCGTCCTGCCATGTGGAGCTTTTGCCCCGAGGTTTAACATATTTGCCTTCAAGACACAACACACCTTAGCTCAGGCTCTGCCTTACTTGAACGATTTCTCTCCGGGCCAGCTGGTGCCTCCAGCATTTCCACTTCAAGAGCTTCCCTCCCCTGTTTTTATTCGTGCCAAGTTCTCAGCCGCCTCTTTGCTTCAAACAGCTTCCCAGGTCCAATTAAGGGAGCCCCATGTCCCTCTGACTCATCTCTCTTCCCAGCAGGGCCTTCAAGTGTCAACTGACTTAGCTTAAGCCGTGCTCAGGAACACAACCCACTTACTGGTGCAGGGCAGGAGGAATTCAGAAGTCAAGGCTACTTTAAGCAAGTCGCGTCTCCTCAGTAAGGGACTGCTTCCTCAACTTTCTCACACTAAATATTCTTCCTCAAACTCTCTCAGAGAAGACCTCTGCTCCCACCATCACAGCTCAGAGTTTTTAACCCTTCTCACATGCATGTTTTTCAACCAGCTCACAGGAGTGGGGATTTTCTGGAGAACCCCAACTGCAGGGTAACAGGTCACTGCACGGAGACCTCACACTAAGGAGTGGGAGGTTCTCTGGGCCCCTAAAAGCAATCGCACCCAGGAAAGTAATTCAGGGCCTCCTGTGTAAGTCATCAAGAGACGTAGGAAGAGCAACAAGAGACAAATGTCGGCAAAAGAAAAAAACCAGCGGAGCCTATACCCTATGAAAATGAGTAAAAGGAACTTTAGAAAGGTCTTCTGACAGTAAATAAGATAAATCAGCAGAAGAAAAAGCAAATGCTGGCAAAAGTCTTCAGAAGTCTTACTCCCCTGCCTCAGACATATCATAAAAATTATTCTCCCGTCCCATCAAGCAACCAGTGAGTGAGTGCGGCACCCTGAACCCTGGATTCCCTGCCCAGGTGTGGTCCTGGGGGCTCAGTAAGCTGTACCTAGGAAAGGACAGACCCACCAACTTGAATTCTGAAAGGGTTTCACATTAAATTCTGGACTAACCTCTGGTCACCAAGAACAGCACGAGCCCCGAAGTATCTCTTCAACTCATTCTCTGGATTCAAGTTCCTGAGAAGGCAGAAACAAGAAAGAAAAGCTACCATGAGTTAAACCCAGCCTGAACTCTCATGCAGAATCCCCTCCATCGATACTGAGAGCTCCGTTCCTTGGGCTGTCCCTGACCGAGCCCCCGAGCTGTCACACACCCCACGGATCTCTCACAAGACACAAGAGAGGAGACTAAAAATGGGTCAGAACAGCGAGGCACGAAAGCCCTGTTCAATCAGACACACGTTTCCTTCATGCTCTGCTCCGCACCAGGGAATACTTCTGCTGCCCCCTCCAGGGCAGCTGGGCTCTCAGCCTGAAATATGTCTTCAAGACAAAGATCTTGTAGCAAAGCATGACAACATCTAACATCTGGCCCAGAGAAGGGAGTTTTAGCTGAGGGGGGGGTTTTCTCTCTGCTTTCCAGTAAGCAGGGCTTTAAGAGAGGGAGGGCGAAGGCTGAGGTTCAACCCTCACCCACTCGGAAGTTACCCAGCGCTCAAAGGTTTCCAAATAATCCCAGAGACGTCACAAGTTTAAAAATCACCTTGAGGAAAACAAACACCCTGCCTTGCTGCAGTGTCCCTGAACGGGCTGCACCAACACCGAGCGCCCACCTCCTCGCCTGGAGGTTTCACACCCGAGGCTGGTACGTTACCCCAGGGCGACACAGGCCCAAGCATTCCAGATCCTGAGTCTGAGGCAGATTTGCTCTTCAGCTCTCAGCCAGGCTTTGGTGCTCAGACATGTAGGAAAGGTCAGAGAAGTCTGACTTGCTCT